GGATTGGCCTATCGGACTTTGCTGTTGAAATCCCTGGGAACATGACACTGCACAGGAAATGAATGCTATTGTCCAATCGTTAGTACCATTTTTTCCTACAAAGCATACAGATTTTTCTTCTACTGCTAACACACTAATGCTAGTTTGTTAAGGAACCTTAATTTGTGACAGCTAAAAAAAGGCACGAACATCTTTCTGTTAAATTGTTAAAATGCTACATCATATCATTTAAAATTACTGAATATGGCAATGAAGAAAACAATGAGAAAGCATAATAGTTTTGTCTGACATTTCACAGTTAAAATTATGAATTCACAATTTTTTGTTGAAAAATTTAATAAATTAGGGATAACAAATGTTTAATGAATTCTTTCTGAGCATTGGATTGAAGGGCAATAATAATAATAACAATCTTAGAAATGCAGAGCTGGAAAGGACCACATGGACCATTGAGTCCAGTCTCAGTCAAGGAGGCACAGTGGGGAATCGAACTCCCAACCTCTGGCTCTGCAGCCAGAAGCCTAAACCATTCTAGTATGTGACATGGGACCTTGACTGCTGGTGACAAGGTGCGTGTGTGCATGAAAATTTGAAGAGTTGTAACTAAAAAAGAACAGAGAGAAAGCTCTTATAGTTCTTTGGCTATGGAGAAACAAACACATCATTTCCTAGAAGGTTGCACATAGAGAAATCCTTTGAACACAGATTACCCTCAGGTTTACAGCTTCTGGTTATAAATTTAAATATTGGGCTGCTGAGGCATCTCTAAGGATTAAATGATTTAGGAGTCAGCTGCATTGTTGGCAAATCCCAAGGTAGCTGAATTTTTCATCTTTGAGTCCTTGTGGCAATAGTGGGGAGACCAAACAGAGGCTTATCTGTTCTTAAGGTCCTTGGATCCACTACAGTCTGAATCAGGAACAGAATGTAGAATGGAGGGCCTTGAAAACCACCCTTTCCTTACAAATCTTGGCAGAATTTTAAACCAGTTACACGTGGCCTCTGACAGAGTCTCTTAATATTCATTTGGGTCAGCCAGTGATACCTGAACGGCTGTCTTTTCTCCAATGAGCATCACTTCACATTTGGGCCAGATTTCCTGCTAGAGTTTTAGATTGGTTAATTCAAAGTTACTTTCCTAACTGGGTGGTGACATGGCAATCAGGCATGGGCGTGTTACTATAGTTCCATGGGTACGAATCCTTTTAATCTAATCTTGGGGTGGACCACTTTGGTGGGTCTAGGAGACCAATTCAATCTTCTCAGGACCTGCAGTGGACTATATCACCACTGGCAAAATTGGGCAGGAACCAGAACCTCTCCCTGTTTAAAGCATGCATTTTGTTGCTTTCACTTGGGATTTGCTATCCAAATTCAAGGGCAAACTGCTACAAACAATTTAAAGCAATCATTAGCATGTTTTAAATGGGTTTTCCTTTCCCATTGATGATGATGAATCTGGTCCCAAAATCTGGTAGATAAAGGTAAAGGTTCCCCTTGACATTTAGTCCAGTCATGTCTGACTCTAGGGTGCGGTGCTCATTCCTGTTTCCAAACCATAGAGCCAGCATTTGTCTGAAGACAGTTTGTGTGGTCATGTGGCCACTGCAACTAGACATGGAACGCCGGTACCGATTTATCTACTTGCATTTTTACATGCTTTCAAACTGCTAGGTTAGCAGGAGCTGGGACAAGTAATGGGAGCTCACTCCGTCATGTGGATTCGATCTTACGACTGCTGGTCTTCTGACCTTGCAGTACAGAGGCTTCTGTGGTTTAACCTGCAGCACCACCATGTCCCTTGATAAAAATCTGGTAGTAAACCACTAAAATGCATTCTTTATTTCTTCCAGATTGCAGATGGAATTCAACAGTGTAAGTGAGGGTGGGGGGGCTGGGCATGCTCAGAAAGAACTGTGGAAGGCAACAGGACTTCCTTGACTGCATATAGACTAGCTGCATTGGACTTCTGCATTTGTCTAGCGCCTAACTGATGTTTCAGCAGCTTTTCATGCTGCTTTTTCAGGAACCATCATAGATTCCTAAGCCAAGGCATCAGAGTCATGCCAGTGAAAAGTACCAGACACAGTATGCATGTATCACAGGTGTACTGAACTCAACGATGGTGACATTATTTTGATACCTGAAGCAAAAAATGTCCCAGGTGCCTCCATCTGGATCTGAAAAAAGAAAAATCACAATATGAATGAATTACATAACTATCAGTTTGCCTGTTCATGACATTCAAATAGTCTCACTTTATCTAATTGTGCCTACCCAATTAGGGCCTGCCCAATTAATTTCACTCTTACATAGTATGCTCTTTCAGCAATTTGCTATTTGAATCCATGTAATCGACCAATGTTTTTACTACAGTATTTAAAAAGCAAGCACACACAGCCAGGATCTTTTCATTATCCAGTATGGCAGCCACTGCTCCATCACCAAAAAGGAGAACATGGAGGGCAATTAATGCCAAAAGGGAGGACATTCTTCAGGAAAGAAAGGACATTTCCCTGTTAAATTCACATATACTGGTTTCAGGTACTGTATGCAAAATACCCGTATCATTACGCAATATTGCTATAATTTAAGTGGAAATACACTACTGGTCACCCTACAGCATGGAACTATAAGTGAACACACCATGGGACATTGCATTGAAATATGAGATATCTCTTGAGCACTGCCTGGACGCTGTACTGGGTAGATGAAGGATAATAGACTGGAGCTGAATGCGAACAAGACAGAAATATTGCAGGTGGGCCCCCCTAGTGTCTGTTGTTTGGGTGCCTCCCTTCCTTTTGGTGGGGTTTCTCTTACCGTGAAGGATTAGGTGCGCAGATTGGGTGTACTTTGGGACCCAGCGCTATCAATGAAATCCCAGATAGCATCTGTGGTCCGCACTGCCTACTTCCCTTACAAATCTTGGCAGAATTTTAAAACAGTTACACGTGGCCTCTGACACAAATCGCTCGTGCTGCGTCCCGACCTTGACACTGGGTCGCTCACCATGCTGGTTCATGCACTGCTGGTCTCGAGATTAGACTACTGCAATGCTGTCTAGGTGGGGCTGCCTTTGGTGGTGTCATGGAGGTTTCAGCAGGTCCAGAACTCATCTGCCAGATTGCTAAGTGGGGTGAGGAGACATCAACAGATTTTCCTCACCCTGCACTGGCTACCTGTTTGTTTCCGTGCCAGCTTCAAGGTAATGGTGTTAACATACAAGCCCTAAACGGTTTGGGACCTCTTGATCTGGCAGAACACCTCCTTCCAACCAGGTCTGCCTGTCCTGTGAGACAGTGGTCCCCAACCTTTTCGACACCAGGAGCCAGTTTAGTTGAAGACCATTCTCCCATGGACCTGCTCCATGCCTGTGAGCTGTCACAAACAGCCCGTCCTCTCCTCTGTAAGGAGTGCACACCTCAGTCAGGCAGAAGGTGGCAGGTTGGCCCTCAGAGAGCCTCGCTGGAGGGCAGACCAGCAGTCCACCCGCTCACCTGGCTGTTAGCTATCCCGCAGGCACAAACTCTGCACTGGCCACCGCCACTGCCGCCTCTGCCTCCCCTCAGCCTGGGCAGGAGTTTCTGGGGACCCAACCATACCAGGCAGGCTTTGCCTTCTCCGGTGACAGGTGCGGACTTCCCTCCCTCCCTCCTGGAGCAACTCCATCCTGCTGCCCTCCCCCCTCCGGGGACCGGGGCTCCCCTGCCCCTTCTTTCCGGGTTGGACCAGCAGGCAGGGAAGACCCAGACAAAGGAGGCAGCTTACCTCGGCGGCTCTCTTCATTGCTCGGCACCTGCTTTTGCTGAGGACCACTTCGCAAAGGGAAGTGCTGCCTCCAACTCACAGCGTGCTCTAAACTTCCTGCTCACCACTCATCTGTCCCGGCAACCTGGTCCTTCCAAGGCCACAGATCCAGACCGGCCTGCGGCCCCGGTCGCTGGGGACCCCAAGCTGGGTGGTTGAGGGTTCTCTATTTTGAGGGAGGCTTGGAAATCAATGACGAGAAACTGGGCCTTCTTGGCGGTAGCTCCGCAATTGTGGAATGCTCTCCTGCCTGAAACTTGCCTGGTGCCCTCACTGGGAACCTTCCCGCGATTGTTAAAAACATTCTTATTCAGGCAGGCCCTCCCAGACTCTACTTTATCTTAAAAGTTATTGTTCAACCCCACCATCTTTTTCCTTTTTTCCTTTTAGTGTTTACAGATATTTTGTTTAATATTGTATCAATTGATACTTTGTCCTGTTATTGTATTGTCTTGTTTTATATTTTGTTCTATTACACTATGGAAACCACCAAGAGTGGCCCGGTGGTATAGAAATCAAATCAAATCCAGTCCAGTCAGTTAACCAATCAATCAATCAATCGCAATATTAAAAGATGAAGAAAACACATAATGGACAGGGTATAAGAAATTCCACTTATTCTCCACAGCAAGCATTTTCTAAAACCTGAATAACTTAAGTTCCTACCCTTCCTGCAATCTGTGAACAATATCTACATAAATGCAGGACAACAGAGGTTCCTGCCATGTTTCATTTATGTATTTCCAGTCCTGAGACTGTACTCCACCCTGCTTCCTTGGTTGCATCACTCCTTCTCACACAGGAATAAGCTTCCTGTTTCTGCAAAAAAGGGACTTTTTTTCTTGTCATGGCAACACTGCAGCCGACTGGTACGACAGCAGCCACTTGCACCAATATGCTGGTCCCAAACATCAGGACAAGAAAACAGTTAGCTAGAGAAAGCACACTGCACTGATGTGGTGGGAAAGAAAGACAGGGGTAGATGAATCTAAAAATTATGCATGAGAAGAATTGGTTGCATCTTCCGAAGGGGGTGGTATAGCTTTAACACAATCAGTGCAAGAACTACACTGGTGCTTATAGGCAACATGTCTCGGAACTTATGGTGAATGAAAATTTGTAGATTTAATTATAGTATTGTTTAAAATAATTTTATTATCACCCTAAGCAATAAGATGTATGACACACAATGAGGAGGTATTCGTCTTTTATTATGCTCTGCATGCATGACAAAAATGCATCAACATTTGGAGCAGGTTTTCCAGACATTTCATATTGAAACAAGTGGACATTATTGTGTATTTCAGGCAACATACTTCTCTTCTTAGTACTGCAAGTGGTATTTGTCAAACACATCAACCCTCAATTAGGCATATGATTCAATAATGTGGCTGGTGTGTGGCAACCTCACTAGCAAACACACAAGAATCTAAAACCATGTAAAACCACACAAGAAAAATTAAGGAACTTTTCTACCATCACAACGTACTGTGCAATAGTAAGCATACACATGGAATTTGTTTTGCTACTAGATTGTGGCAGCAATAATTATCCTACTCACTGACTGAAATCCTGTTGCTCAGTGTAATAAATCACACGGAATCAATGGTGATTTGGTGAGTCAACTCCTACATAAGTTCAATTGATTCAAATGGAACTACTCTAGTTGTAACTTACTATACTCAAGTTGCAACTGTTAATCTCAAAAGTAGTGCTGTTTGTGACTTGTCTTTTGCAATATTGTGAGACCACCAGAGTTCATGCCATTCACTGAGACATACGTTTTAATCATGTCTTCTTACATACCCCTGTCCCTATTCTACAGTTAAGTAAAAGGGTACAAGTTCTCCTTTCAATCTGATTCCTGTTATCTCTTTCTTTCTTGTTCCTTCCCCACAGGGCTAACTCTCAGCTTCCCGTTTTTGTAAAGAACATTTAGTGTTTCGATATGGTACCTCCACATTTTAATAAATTAATGTTCCCATCCATCATTTGGGGGACATGTTGGACTTTGAGTTTCATAAGTTCCCGGCTGATTTTACTAACAGGGGAAGATTGGCATGCAAAGATTCTCGAGATGGGTAAGTGAAATGGGAAAATTCTCCAGAACTCTGTATGCTCCTCTGAGCCATCACAAATGATTCACACACATTAGATCACAGAAAAATTCTAAGGAAATAAAGGTTCATGTTACGGAATGCCCAGGAAACCCTGTGACATGATGCGTTCAGAGATGTCTTTCAACATGCAATGCCCAAATCTCATAGTAACATAAAATATTGCACTTAAAAGAAAAATCCCTGAATTTGGCAAACAAACATGCAACAAATGAATAAATAAAAAGACAGCAATTAACACTGAAGCATTCAGTACAATATGTCACACAGCATCAGCATCTTAGAATGCTGGCAGGTTTTCTTTTTAACCCCTCTGTGAGCCACTGAGACTACAACCAATAGATTTGTTCCACATGAAACAATATGAAAAGCAGCAAGGAAACAGGGGAATGGCATCGACTTTTTTTTCTTTTTCAGCATAAAAAAAGTAGGCGAGATGCAAATATGCTGCATTAATGGCAGGCATAGTAGTGAACTGAAATTCTGCCACCCCCACCATCTTTCCTTCAAGTTCGGTTATAGCTATTCCCCCACCACCCACCCAAAAAGCTCAGGAGCAAATGAGTTTTTGGACAGTCACTCTCATTCTTTGGCTGCACAATCTTTTCCATTCAATTCTCTAAATGAAATCCCAAGTATCTGGATGACATGCATTTGAGAATCACTAGTCCGGGATGTGTTTGGCATTTCCTTCACAGCTCCTTGGAGAAAGCTTGGCACAAAACCTAACTTTCCTATTTTGTCCTCTGACTCACTGAAGCAGTGTAAGTCATTAGGCAATACAACACCCATGATAGCCCACCTTAAGCAGCAACAGAATATCCTTGCTTAGTATTGTGTATACAGAAACAAGATATACAGTGCCCAGCCTAAAAACAGAATTCTGCAGGATCAGTCCAATTCTGCTTGCAGTAAGAATTCAGTTGCTTATTTCTGTTTAAATGCTGAGATGTCTCCACTGATTTCTAGTGGCCATTGAAGGATATATGAAGAAGAATATAGAAATGGCACTGTACCTACTTTCATATGTCATGACAGCAGTGACCTTTAAACTGTATTTGTTTTGCAATTAAAAATCCTGAAACAAGCAAGGGACAAATCTACCATTTCATCCAACAAAAGAAGATCAAGGGATAAATTCATTAAAAATGTTCCTTCTTTTGTGGCTTTGAAATCCCCATTAAATTCACCTTCAAACCAATTGTCATCATATTTACTCTCAGTATAAATAACACAGAATCTTAGATGTGCACCTAAATTGAAGTGACTTGACCCCAAACAGCACTTCCTCTCCATTTTTTCGACAAGTCATAATGTCACCTCACATGCAGATTCACTGGACAACAATGTAAGCTTGGAAAGAGAAATACTCTATTCCCTTTATCTCCAAAAAGTGCTATGGAGCTACAAAACCCCCATGCTGAAAATGACTTTAAAATGCCATTAGGACATCATGTTCTTGCACACTAGTGTAGAAAGGTTGGCCAAAGAGAAACGAATGTAAACCAGGTTTGAGCTTCTCAGCTAAAGCCATTATTATGTTAAGATCGCCCTCTGCTGTTAAATCCAGATCAATCTTCAAGTTCCGGAGAGATTTAAAAGGCTTTTTACCTTTCTGCCTGTGGGTGGGGAGAGAAAAAGATGGGATTAAATCAAGTATTTTGTTTGAAACTACTAACATCCAACCCGCTGCCTCCTTTAGCTTGATACTTACGTGTCATCTTCTATGTACTTGATGAGAGTTAAGGCTTTTCTGTGAAGGACTAAGAGGAACTGGGCAAGGAATACACTCCTCAGAGACAATCCAGGTTTCAAATGAAATACCTATTAAGATAATAGCCACAAAGAAAGGTTCAACACGCCTTTGATGACAAAGAGTCTCACTTACTGGAATTCTCTAAGTGCTCTTATTCTCTTGATAACCACACAAACGGTCATATTCAGGGCTAGTGAATAAGGGCTGCTATTCAGAAAAGGGTTACTCTAAACATGTGAGGAGGAACAGAGGAAGAAGCCCTGTCCACCTCCACTACTATTCTCCACAGGTGAAGAACAACAGTCTGGAGAGTTTGTTACATATGGAGAGTCATCATGTGAGTGGGGATCATGAAAAACAACAGGGTTCTGGATTACAAGGCTCCACATGTAGAGGAAATTCTCTTCTTCAGACCACTCTCTATACGCAGAATAAGATAATGGAAGGGGGCAAGGCCATACATAGAATCATACATTTCTGCAGAATCTTTGCCAGTACAATCAGGCCATTGAATGCCAGGAGTGGAAAAATGGATTGCCCACGCTGCAGCAACTGCTAGTGGTTGATCTTGGCAACTGGCTTTCAGAGAGGTAAGCCAATATGAAAAAACATACACAATGACAGTGTAGTATATCTATGAAGATTCTCAGTCATCCATGTGGATGTTGAGTCATGGCAACTGGATTTCTTGTTAGGTTGAAACATTTCACTACTCATCCAAGTATCTTCTTCAGTCTGAGGAGAGTTGGTAGGAGACTCCTGATATATCCTGCACATTGGTTTCACTCCCTTCCTGGTCTGAAGAGGCTCGTTAGATGGACAGACAGATGACAGAGTAGATAAAATTCTGAGTGTGATTTGGGCTTTAGTCTCTTAATTAACATTAAACGTTCCATTCAAATCAACAACTTGTTGACTGATACAACTCCAGAATTGTTAGCTCCATAGAGCACTGTTTAAAATAGACCTTTTATTGCTGCATTGATCAGCTTTTCCTCACTTTGTCAGTACAAAACACACTACCACTCAACTGGCCTTCAAGGGTGCCAACAATCAGAAGAAAAACAATCAATACACAGTTGGTTTCATTAGCATTAGCACATCATCTCTGAAACTACTCTTGTCAAAAAGACTACTTGTACATTTTTTTAAAGCTGCATACTGCTTTTCAGTTAACTTTAATGAGCAATTATTACCTGATCGAGGAAGGCTTTTACCAGAGTATCTTGGTGCAGAACATCTTGGAAAACATTCCTGTAAAATACAAACAGAGACAACATGAAGTACTGGTAATATGCCGCTTTTGTATATAACACAGAGTTAAACTAGTAACTAATGACAACTTAAACTGTGAATCTCTTGCAACATTCAAAAACATGAATAGTTCTTTCTTCATTTTTGAAGAAGACATCTCCATCAGATTCACCATGTAGGGAAAAAACAAGGAGTGGTTAAATTTGATTTCACTCTCCTCCTATGTAATGCAAAATGAAGAGTTGCACAATAAAAAATAATGGAAACATTACTTGGTTTAAGTAGGTCTGCTGAAGCAAGATTATGAGCCTAGACTGTGTTGCCTCGGAAGGATGGAAGGCTGAGTCAACCTTGAGCCGGTTTAAGTAGGTCTGCTGAAGCAAGACTATGAGCCGATACTGTGCTGATTACAAGTATCAATGTAACAACTAGGGAGTGTGGAAAACAACCACCCCCATTGAAAAGAAACGCTCTACAGTGGTGCCTCGCTAGACAATTACCTCGCAAAATGGTTAATTCGCAAGGCGATGGGTTTTTGAAATCGCTACAGCGCTTTGCAAAACGATATTCCCTATGGGCAATTTTCACTAGATAATGTTTCGGTATGTGCTTCACAATATATATATATTTTTATTTTTTTTTGAGACCGATGCTTCGCAAGAACGATGTTTCAGTCTGTGCTTCACAAGATTTTTTTTTTTGAGGGGGACCATTTTTCGCAAGACGACGATTTTGACAGCTGAGTCCGCGCTTCACAAAACAGTTTTTTTTAGGGACGTTTTTTTTTTGCAAGACAGCGATTTTGACAGCTGGTTCCATGCTTCGCAAAACCATTTCTCTATGGGCGATTTTCACTAGACGATGTTTCAGTCTGTGCTTCACAAGATTTTTTTTTTTGAGGGGGACCATTTTTCGCAAGACGACGATTTTGACAGCTGAGTCTGCGCTTTGCAAAACAGTTTTTTAGGCACGTTTTTTTTCGCAAGACAGCGATTTTGACAGCTGGGTCCGTGCTTCACAAAACTGTTTCTCTATGGGCGATTTTCGCAAGATGACGATTTTTCCCCCATTGGAATGCATTAAATGGATTTCAATGCTTTCCAATGGGGAACCGCATTTCGCAAGATGATGTTTTCACAAGACAGCAATTTTCGCGGAATGAATTAACATCGTCTTGTGAGGCACCACTGTATAGTGTTCTAAAGTGAATCTCCAATAAAGTAAAATTCAATACAATGAACGTATCCAACATAAAGACTGTAATTATTTATAGCTGCATGAGCATTTGTAACTCAGCATAAAGCAATATATAACAATGTAACAAGCTGTAAAATATTGCATACAGATCAATACAGTACACATACACTCCTACATACTCCACATTAAGAATCCAAGGTGCACATCGTGTATTCTTACGTCAAATGTCCATGTTTAGTTCCTGATAATGCTTGGAATAAGCAGTCTCGAGTTCCCGATAATGCTTGGTATAGGCAGTTTCAAATAGGCAATCTCAACAAGCTTCGAGCTTATTTTTGATATACCACTTTGCTCGTTTCATGGTCCCTTATCAAGAGTCGTCAAGCCTTTAGAAAAAAATCTCTGGAACCCCTGAAAAGGAAACTGAGACATCCACATTTAGGAATCCTTCTACTAAAATGTTGCCGACATGAGAATACACCATGTGCTCCTTGGATTCTTAACTGCTTGTGCAGTTATAAATAATTGCAATCTTTATGTTAGATACGTTCATTATATTGAACTTCAAATTACTGGAGATTACAAGCATTAGGCTGGTATGCATATACATGTTCAGTAGGTGAAGACCAGAAAGCTTTCATCTCTCTTCTCAAAATCAAAAATACCATGTTTTTCAGTGGAGCCAGTTCACATTCTCTGCTTACTTAGTAAGCAATTAGTAAGCAGCAAGTGAGAAAGCTTCTCATGTCTATGCATTTATAAATCTTACACTGAATTATGAATAAACTGCACCAGATATTTAGCTGATTATTTTCACACTAACATACAAGGGGGAAAAATCTAAACTTGCTTGAATCTAGTAGAAGTTAACCAGCTTGATTGCACTACTCCTTATGTTATTAGCTATCCAAAGGATGGTATGATAATACATGGAGAAGGAAGACAGAAATCAAATTCTCTATACCAGTGTTTCCAAACCTTGGGTAACCCAGGTGTTCTTGAACTGCAACTTCCAGAAACCTCGACAAACATAGCTGGTGATGAAGGCTTCTTGGAATTGCAGTGCAAGAATAACCTGGGTTACCTAAGGTTGGGAACCACTGCTTTATACCAAAGTGAGCAGCATGGTTGTCCAAATACTGGTAGACTGCAGCTCCTATAACATCTGACTACTGCCCTTGCTGTTTCAGGTTAAAGGCAATTAGCCCTACCCCATGACCTCTCAGGAAACAAAAGTAAGTGTTCAATCACTCCCAGTTCTTCAGAGAGAACAAGATAATGTCTGTTCCAAAGGGAAAATCTCACCCATAACTCCCCCTGCTCCATGATGCTTGCCCTCAGTATCCTGGAGTAATTCACTTTTATGGTTGGATGTATATCAGTGAGAGATACAGGGCCAAGTACATGAAGATAAATGGGTAGACAAAAGGGACCCAGAACTCTACAGCTATTATACAAAATTTTAATAATTATAGGTGCCAAAACTAAAGTCTAGATAGCTTATGTGAAAGTCTGGAAAAGATCTGGCTCAAAAGATATTTCATAGTTGTTGGTTTGTAAATTTTACAAGGACACATACAAGTCAGGAGTGAAGCTTTCATCTGTGTGGATAATGGTATCCTGGGCCACATCTTCATCGGAAGTAGCTCTCCAAAATGCTGTTAGTTCAGATCTCATGTATCGTCGCTGGTTATAGATATGTTCATGACATGGAGGCATCTGTTTTACTGTGTTGACATCCACATCTATGTGTGTGGTAGGATATGGAGCATACATTACTTGACGGAAAGGCAACACAAAGCTTCCGGTCACATCCTGTAATAGTGTAAAGAATTGAAAGTCTAGTCACTCCATAAGAAAAGTTACAGGAACTAAGACCAGAACAACATCACATTGTAATCTGAAATATCTGTTTGGAATAGCTATCAAAACAGCAGGAAATATGCAAATGTAAGTGTATTCTCTATAGAGGCTGTTCAAGATATTATAGTACAATGTTATGAAATACTGTGAAATAAACCCGTTTTTAACTAGACTTGATTTCTAGTGTGTGAGTATTGGGGTATCTGTTCAGAACTCAATCCTGGGTACACATGTGGGAGTAAACTAAAAACACAGTAGGAATTCTTATACTCTCGGGTAAATGACTCGAATTCAGCTTCGTGTTCTCTGGACATTTTGAACTACAGCTCCCACCGTTCCAGACTGCTGGCCATGTTAAATGTGGCTAATGGAAACTATAGTCCAAAACTTCTTATAGGGCCACAATTGAAGAAAGAGTCCCTAGATTGTAGATTATAGAATTCAAAGAGCATGATCAACACCTTTGCTAAAAAAAAAATGACCTCAGAGAAATCTCAAAACAAGCTGCACTTAATTTACTGAAATTTATTGCCAAATAAAGATATTTACAGAATATTAACAATCATGATACTGCTCTCACAAGGAAAAATAGGACTTGAGGGAAAGGGCACTGCATAGGACTTTGATGTTTCTATTTCCAAATTTCTTATGAATCTGAAGAGTGCTAGGCAACCAGCACAGCCACAAACAGATTACAGGGATCAGCTGTTCAGCCACAAAAGCCACACACTTCCTTTATGACTAACTCTTTTTACATTTGTCAGAGAGCGAGACAGAGGTTTATATTTCTGTTTGCCCCAGTGCCTGTTTTCTTCCTCTGTAAGGTTACTGTGCAATGGTCATTCCTAAAAGTTATTTTTCAATTTGGAATATACAGGAGGAGGTCAGGATTTCACTTGTCTGAATGTTTAGTTCACAAAGTAACATTAACATGGATGTTAATCATGCCTAACAGGTGAGAAATAATACTTTCAGTCACCAACATAACTTTCAAAATACATTTAATTTAATTCATCATTTACATTTATATCTTGCCCATCTAGTGCCTAAGCACTACTCTGAGCGGCTAAAAACAGTTAAAATACATAGTTATTAAGGTAGTGTGTTTGAAGAAAAAAGGAAAGCTGCCTGTTTATCTTTCTTCCTCAAAACAGAAGTACAAGCTAGAAAGCATATTGTTCTAAGAAAGCAATGGCAAAAGGTTTCATCCACTAAGGAAGTGTTCCTTGACACTATCATTGAAAGGTGGGCTTATATCATAAAACGGCATAAACCCTCCGTAACCCCTCCTCTGAAAACAAGCCTGAAAAATGATCTGCCTGTGAACATTTCTATGCACAACCCTGTATTTTAAAGGAAAAATGCAACTGGACGAAAACAGTGACACTAGCCATCTACTGAGAAACAGGGCAGGCAGAAACAGAGACTACCAAAGATAAATAAATGAAAAAAATATTGGCAAGACTAAGCACAAGATCAGTTCTTGTGATTTAAAAAAATAACGGAGGTTCCTGGCTGTTGACAGAGTTGAGTTGAAGGAATCAAAGATGTTAGTTGGTCAAGACCTTACCTTGAGCAATCCTTGCACAAACAGGCCTGACTCATACTTGAAAGAGGTTTCATTTCTGCAGAGTCGAGAACACTTCCGTTCTGCAGAAGTAAGAAACAAGCACAGCGTCCGCACTATCTGCAAGACAAGAGCACTACCATACTAGGGGTGGGACGATTTAGCAATTTTTTAAAAAATGCAACACTGAAAGTTAGATCAAAGGGCAACTGATGGCTTGGTTTTTGTCTGTTTGGTGTGATCCAAACATTTTTCTCCTGGCTATATTGTCTGATCCATTGTGGGGAAGCCCCATCTTCCAGAACACAACCTTCCATATTTTGTTACTATAAAAATGTCCACCATCACCCCACCAAACAGTATGTCCACTGCTGGCATACTGCTATAGGTACCGACAAGCTATTCCCTACAGGTACATATGGCAGCACATATCGCTGGCAGAGAGATATACTTCAGTCCACCGCTTTGACACATGTTAAAAAGTGTACCAAGATAAAACACATTCCATTGCAACAGAAGAAAGCAAACAGGTTTATTTCAAACAAACCACAGGTGCCCTCAGGGTTGTGCCCTCCCCCTCTTCTTCAGGGAGAAAGGGGGGAAAGCTTTAATTCACAGTTCAGAACCATTCCTTTAATATATTTGAAAAAGTGGGACTTTGCAGTTTATTGCTTTTCTTTGTTTTTATTATGATGTCTGCCACCAATATCAGAGCAATGCAATTTATATTGTTAAGAAATAATAGTGATTTGGGTCTGTTTTCCCCATAGGACTTCAGTGTAATCCTGATTCAAAGATATGCAATGCACAATTGGTTTGGAACTGACAGAACCCGTTATGCTGGCATGACTGCCCTTCTGATGGTGGTTCTCGGAGAATGGCTGGCAGAGGGATCTGCTAGCAGAACTCCTCTGGCTTAGATAGGATGGCGTGCTATAATGTGCTAGCAGATGAACAAAAAGCCGTGTGTGATGGAGGTGATCATACCCTGGATCCAAGTCTCATCTAGATCAGGTGAACCTGGCACAAAATTAGGCCAAAGATGAATGTGGTCCTCAACAGCTTTCTATGTCTGTAGGCTGAGCAGGCTTTGGAATTAGCACAGTTCAGTGGACCAAGTCTCAGCTCAACTGGACCTTGGCCACCTCAACCAGCTAGGATTGCAACTTTCAATATACTCTGCAGGTGTTAAATTAAAAGAATTCGTGATCATAACTCAAACACCAGTCACCCTGTTAACCGGTTATTTTCACAAGTGAGAAATAAACATTTACCTTATTGACCTTTTCTGCGCTGCTTCCTACAACCACTGAACAGCCACAGGTCTGCAAGTGCGAACTGATGGCTCTGAAAATTAAACACAGTGAAAATCAACACAATATATATTTCACAAGCATTTTTGTGTGTGTTGGAACTAAATAAAACTACAAGGTTTCTCAATAGAATTTTCTACTGATACCAACATTTCTATATTTGATAGGCAGCCTGCACTATAATCAAACAGTCAGATGTATAGGGCCATCTGTAACTTCAAACAAAGCAAAAATTCAAAACAGAAAAAAAGAGAAAGCTTATATGAAACAATTTAACTAAAATGAACTACCGTATTTTTCCATGTATAAGATGGTATTTTTCTCTAAAATATTTAGATTAAAAATTTAGCGCTGTGATTTCTGCTTTCCCCCTCCATTTTTTGTGAAGAAAGTGGGGGAAAGCACTTTCCTCACAATAAAGGGCTTTCTTGCGAGGAAAGTGGAGGAGGAAAGCACTTTCTTCACAAGAAACTGGAAGGGAAAAGCAGGAATCAAAACGCTTTGATCCCTGCCTTTCCCCTCCACTTTCTTGTGAAGAAAGAAATTTTGGGTTAGAAAGGGGTGGGTGGGTCCATCTTATATGGTATGGAAAAATATGGTAGTTTTGACCTGTGCATCTACATCAGTTTATGTAGATCAGAGAAATGTTGCATTTACTCTTGCTATATGTAGTCTGAACCCACCACTTGCCAACAAGAATGAAAAAGCACCCCATTTTTTACAGTGTATTATCACTGAAAAAGTGTTCCTGGGGAAACAACTCTTTAAATCTAGTCCTGATGGTAGAATCTGGCTCATAGGTCTTCGTGGACATGAACTGGATCAAAATCAAACTGTTCTTTCAATTATACATAGAATTGTATAGTGGTTCTGGCCACCGTATAGTTATTGTTGATGGCTGCTTTCCATATTATTTCTCCCACAGAAATGAATGATGGAAACTGTCCCTTTTAAAAAAATACACATTCGCTTTGGTATACAAAACCTCCACCTTCAAGAGACAAGCCTGAATAACAACTCCTCCTCCTTTGTATGATTATCTTAGAGATCCAGAGAGAACTGTCTTGGAGAGGCTAGTGAGTTCTCTAGTGAGTACATAGACTGGTGTTTTTTTTATTTATATGGTGGCACTGAAATTATTTTTATTACCTTAAGCTGGTCAAGAAAGGAAAAGGAAAAAAAAAAAAAGAAGCGACAGGAAGAGGGAGGAACCAGGAAGCGAGAAAGAGGCCACAAGGAGAAGAGTCAGAAAAAAAGTGAGGAGCAGCAGGTTTTTTTTATTTATATGGTGGCACTGAAATTATTTTTATTACCTTAAGTTGGTCAAGAAAGGAAAAGGAAAAAGAAAAAGAAAGAAACAACAGGAAGAGGGAGGAACCAGGAAGAGAGAAAGAGGCCAGAAGGAGAAGAGGCAGAAAAAAAAATGAGGAGCAGCAACCATGGCAGGGAGACAGGGAGGATGTTGGGAAACGAGTCTATATGTTTGTTTATCGATAATGCTGTATCCTGACAAAACAATGTACAGTGGCAATTATGAGATCAGAATTGTGCTTTTCTAATTTCTGTCCTCCTTGGATAAGACTAGCTTTTGATGAACCAGACTCCATTCAAGCCACAGAATTGCACTTACTCAAAGGACAAAATCCAGTTGCATAACTTTGTGTCTGGTGTAACTTGGATCAGGTGCCAAAAGTATTTAATATGCACTAATTAAAAGTATCCTCTCCCCTCCTTTTACGCTCTGAAGTTCCCTCAGATCCCCTTTTGGCCCAGGGAAGGCTTTGGGAGCCTTGGGATAATGGAGGAGTTTAAAAGTCAACAAGCACTGCCTGATCACTGCCATTAGGATTTGGACTGCTGCCGCTGAGCAGTGCTTTTTTGACTTTTAAGGCTCCCCGTCCCATCTCAATGTTCTCAAAGGCTTTCCAAGGTCAAATACAAGCCCGAGGAAGCCTTGGAATCTGAAATTGGGGTTGGGGGAGATAGGGCATTTTTAATTATTGTTAATTAAATGTTTTCAGTGCCTGATCCAGGCTACATCAGAGACAAAGGTACAGAACACAATTTTGTCCAATATATGGGCACAATGATGCATCCTTTCTGCATCTGAACCCAAAGTAAACACAGGAGTGACCTTACCCTTTGATTCCCTGAAGATAAAAATTCTATTTTACACAATGAGACTTTCTTCCCTCAAAATAAGAACCAATTTGTCTGGACTAGTACAGATTATGCAATGGTGGACAGAACTGTTCTACAAATCTTGTTTCTAGATGTTAACACTAAAGCCTGTGTTTTATTTTAAAAAGTCCACAACATCAGTGATTTTTATAGAGAAAGTGGAATTGCTACTGGGATTACACTGTTGTTACTTGGGATGGTACAAAAAAGGGGTTTCAATGTGCATGTTCTGAGTGAGAGGGGCTAATCAGTAGCCTGAACATCTTTGCCTTTGTGCATACAGCTTCTGTCATGACTTACTCCTTTAAATTCCAGTTTTTTGTGTCTTTAGGGAATGCTGAACCTTGTAGATTAGTGTTACTTCTCTACACCATGGTGAAATCCAAATGAAGGAAAGACAAAGCATGCTAGGAGACAATAATGATGGGAGTGTTGATTACGGTTCATGATGGCCACTCACACTGTTTGATTATCATTCCAACAAAATGATACCAAAGGAATTTGGAGATGGAAGTTGAGGTGTCTCAGTGTCCCCATGTGCTGAGTGATATGGATTGCATCTGTGGCTTGAAACCATATGGTTTCAAACACGGCTTTTTGAATTTACACTAAAAAATTTTTCTCTCTCTTTGAAAATGCTGATGTACTGACAGAATGAAGGAGTAACTGTAGCACTTTTGGCAGAAGCAAAAGTTGTTTCACCTACCATGCTTGCTAAATATCCTGTACATCACTAAATATTAGACTGGTTTTCAATTCTGACTCTAAAAATCCATTTGAAAAGTTATTTCACATGTATGTCACAATGCCTATAAACAAGTAAGATTTTTTCTTTACAAGTAATCTACTCCCTCCATCAAATCTCTGCTTTAAAACCACTTTCAAAAAGCATGACAAAAGTTGATCGTACTTAAGCAAGAAACCTTCATGGCAGCTGTCTCCAATGTCATCATCACTAAGCACTGTATCTCTTATCTAGAACATGATAAAAACAATGAGAGAAGAATTTGGTTATGATGAATACATATTACAAACTACAAGTGTCCAATGAACCCCAAGGATATTACGCTGCAAAAAATGTTGACACACATATAAGTAATAATTGCATTCACTAAGTCAGACTTCTTTTAAAATGTACCCTTTATCTTCCAGTAGCCTGAGGACACAACAATCCCATAATGAGTGTCATATGCTCATGTTATCCATTTCTTTTGATTCACGTGTATCTGAATCACAGTCACTGCGAATCAGGGTTCTCTATGGGTCAGGTTTTAAAACATCTTCAACTGTTCATTTATTTGCTATTTCTATTTTTTTAAAGTCTTATCTTGTAGCCCAATGGTTCTGAACCTTTGACCTTCTAGATTTTTAGGATTACATATGCTAGCTAAATATTCTTGGAGCCGAGGTCCAAAAGAAATGAACAAATAACTAAATGCTGAAGGCAGTGTTTCAAATCCTAATGTGTGACCACACTCCAGTTAATACTATTCATAATTAAACAGAAAATATATAAGATGTAACTTAAGGAAAGTGGAGCAAATTAGCAAAGCAGGTGGAATGACACAGGGAATGAATTAGTATGGAGGATGAACAGGGGCATGCTAACTATCAAATGTTCCTTGAGCGCAAGGAATCAAGGAAGAGCAAAGGAGCAGAGGAGAAGATTATATGCACAAATCCCTGAGTTTGTTTTGCTGATAATCTTAATAATAAGAGAAAGATATTTCAACCGTCTTAAGATCTGATCTTTAGATCTTGCCTTGATTTAAAAATTTTATTAATTTACAATACACTTTTGCAAACCTATCTATTTTGGAAACTGCACATATATAAGCAATTTAATCTACAGTTTAAAACTATTACTAATATAACATATTTTTCCAATGTAAGTTGGCATTCACTCTGTACTTTCAAAACCCTAAAAACATACTGATTTAAGAGTTTTAATGTATTATACCAGACACTTAAAAAATCACAGAAGATGCACCTAGCATGAGCTTACATCTACTTCTTCTGGAACGCTGTGTGATTTCATAGATGAAAGGAGTTCCATTACTGGAATAACTTCACTCGTCAGCATTGGAATTATGCTCTGTCCCTGTGTGATAATCAATATTTTATAAAATTAAAAATACCAAGTTCACTTAAAGAGCACTGCATGAGAAATCTGAAAAATTTGCAAAGAAAAAGATGGATAACTGGAAACCATTCAAAGACATAACATTTCTGTTTGTTTCAATCAAACCTATTGAGGTAGTAAGCACCAATATGATTTAACGTGATTTAAACTGTTCTGTCACCCCATTCACTAATAAAGTGTGCTGATGCATTAACAGCTTATCAAAAGATACGTAGTCTACATCCTTGTTGTAGTCACCATTATCCAGTGTCACCTACCACAAACCTTCGCCCACCCCAAATAGCTCAAGGACCATTTTGTCTATTCTTTTATGTGACCGATAAATGACCTAGTAAAACCTTCCATTAAAGAAACCCCTCATAATTCATCTAACCTGTTTCCCCAAAAATAATCCCTAGTAGGATTTTTCAGAATGCTCGTAATTTATTTTATTTATTTATTTACAATATTTTTTAGCCGCACCATTGCCAATAATATGAGCTCTACTCCAAAAATAAGCCCTAATTAAGTGAAACCCTGTCCTCCACCCTTGTGCAGCAACCAGAGAAAGATGACATGACTGTATTTGAATAAATGTAGATTGTTGTCCATGAAAAAACATCCCCTGAAAATAAGCCCTAATGCTTTTTTTGGAGCAAAAACTAATACAAGACGCTGTGTTATTTCCGGGGAAACACGGTAATTGGTTTCTGTGCACTGAGATTATTCTCATTTTTTCTTTACTACAAAATGTAGGAGGGGAGGGATATAATTCTCAGTTGGTTCAAAACTGCTATCACATGTTCACACAGATTATTCTCATACAAACTCCAAAAGATACACAGAAGAACCTGAAGCAGAAAATTCTGCATAAGATCCAGTGTGTGGTACACCAGCAACAGTGTTTGCAGGCTTCTCAATCAAATAAACAGAACTTGAAAAGTGGACAATTTGTAGCAGGTGTTGTGCAACATCATTCTTACCTGATCTTCCATTCTCTCTGTGCCTTCCATTACAGCCTTCTGGTATTGTTCTTGCCTTTCCTAAGCAAGTAATAAAATTTCAGAACAAAATTATAAATCTTCTAGTACCTGTGTGTACATTTCAATATGTATAACCACCTGAGTGTAAAGAGACAGCTGATGTAAGGCCAAAGTGAGCTGAAAGAATTCAGTCACAACAGAAAGTTCCATTAATTTAAGGTACTGTACTTTGAAAAAAATCTGACTTCAGTATAGATTACTTGCATTCTTATTCGGCATGGACAGTCAATTTGTTAAAACACATGACACAAGCTTCATGAGCTATTGGAGAGGGCAGGATACAGAAACACTATGGTATCTATAGGAAACTTGCAATCTACAATGCTTTATTGCTGTTGACACTAGGAAGGACTGATAAGAGCTGGAGTTCAATTAAGCCTCCTTCCCATATGCTTCCACATTCCACAATGCTATCTGTTCACCACCTCACAAAGTAGAGCCCAAACTATATGAATACACAGACAGACTTTGCACCAGACTGGCATTCTTTAATGTTGGTGAAAATAAAACCTCATCCTCTTGTCAGTCTTCTCCCACATCTTCACCATCACATTATCTTGATGTATACAGTGGTACCTCGACTTACGAACGTCTCCACTTGCGAACGATTTGAGTTACGAATGGCGCCGTTCATCCAAAAGTTGCTTCGACTTGCGAACAGAGCCTCGACTTATGAACCAAAAAACCCGAAAAAACCTTTCCTGCCTTTTTTTGACCTAAGTTCATCTTAGGTCAAAAGAAAAAGAAAAGAAATCCCCCCTAGTGGTAGAGTATGGAATAACCAGCTTTGCATTAGTTCCTATGGGAACTAATGCCTCTACCTATGAATAGTGCCAGGATATGCGAACGAAAAACAGCAGGTACGGATTAAATGGTTTTCCATTCCTATGGAAAAGTTTGCCTCGACTTACGAACTTTTCGACATACGAATGCCGTTCCAATACAGATTACGTTTGTAAATTGAAGTACCACTGTAATTTGTATTTACTTTGTTTGTTAACCACCCACAGCAGTGTTTTGCACTGATCAGATGACATAAAAATGGAAGGAAGGAATAAAGCTTGCTAAATATGTTTTTTACAAAATAATCTATAATCTTACCCCCACATTTTGGAAACTATAAAAGGATTTTTGCATAACAACCTGGTGTGTCCTACATGTGCAGAATCTGAAGTTATTCTGTCAATTGAAAATACACTTTGCTATCAAAGAACAAATTATAATAGAGTCTAATCTAGCAGTTTGTCCATAGACAAATCTTTTGATATTGACTATGAGAATCTACCTGTTTCTGAGTAACAGAGCAGCAATGTTCAGGAAGCATTTTGTCTGCAAGTAGATTTCAACTGATGTGGAAGTGTAAGTTATTCTGTTTTATATCACATTGGTTTTTAGGAAAAGGAGCTTTTAAACTGAAGGCTTATATAAATAGGCTACTTGTCTCTGCTGTTTTCCTGAAAAGCACAGAAATATATTTTTCAGGAAATCTTTCACAAGTCAAACAAATGGAAAACAATGAAAATCTATTTATCTTTAAAGGCCAAAACCTCATGAGTTTGCATGAGTACGTTAAGCCATTACAGTATATTAGTGTTTTCCTACTTAGTTACAGGACCACCTTCACATGACCAGTCTGGTTGCAAAACAGAGCAGGTGATCATTTGCACAACTGCTCACACAAAGGACAGCCTACTGGAGGAGAAAAACCACCATGCAATTGCTCTTACATGCATGGTTTTTCTGTTTGATTTTTGGTCTTGTTCTTAAACGCCTAGTGGTCTGAACTGCTGACAAAACAGTGGTCGCAATGACCAGATAGGCGGGGTATAAATAGAATAAACAAACATACAAACAAACAAATACTGCCGTACTAATGTAGATCCTCCTTTGAAATACAGGGGGCTTGTCCTCTAAATCAGCACACATTGCATTATGCTCTACAGTGAGCGGCAACAGGCTTCTTCAAGAAAATATCTTTGAAAATGAGCCAAAACACTGCTGAGATTACCTTCATGAGATTACCTTCAGCACAAAACAAGAAAACCAGAACACCAAATATTATTCTCGTTTTCATGCTCTTACTTTTTCTGTATTTACCATCAGTTATGGTCCCAAAGAGAAAAAGATTGTGACTCAAACTGTTTAAACAAGTTCAAAAGTGATAACCGTGAAGAAAATTGTAAATAAATAAATAAATAAATAAACCGTGAAGCAAAGCAGCCCCCTACCTTATGCATCCATATCCTTCCTTTTCTTATAATATGTGTCAGTCTGTCAACACATACTCTATGAAGGGGGAGGTAGAAACTAAGTTCACTTTGTGGAAGTATTATTGATAGTCCATATGTACTTCTGTCCCCATTCCAGTTCCCGTCAAAAATTAAGGAGACGATAATGACGCCTTTCTCAGCCAAAACAAAAAACTTCACATCAATTGCACCACTTTCAGCATTGCGAAGGATTTCTCCATTCAGCGTATGGTTTGCAAGAAACGTTATCTCGCCATCACTGAGAAGCTGCTGCTCAGTTTTGGGGGCCCATATGTGTCTCACCCTAGGACCAAGGATATTGTCCCAGTACGCAAAGGTAGCAGCCAGTAAGGGTGACTCTCCACTCAATGCAATCTCTGTCTTAGCAACTGCAGGAGAAGGAGGAGGACACAGAGCAGACATGGCAACCTCAGCTGTCACATTATAGAGGTCTGAAACCTAGAAAGTGAATTTGAGAAGAAAAGAGTGAGTATACAGCAGATAAAATTTAAACAGAACATTTCAGTACTGTAGACTGTGAGGTGTAATTCTGAACAAAACGAAATGCTGATGTGTCCCCTTCCCTGGACTAACATCTCATCCTATACCAATGCCAAAAGTATAACATTTAAGAGGTTGGTATAAGTAAGGACTTTTTAAATCAGAAGAACTTCCAAGTAAACATCATTAGGACTGGATTATGTGTCCACACATGTATTGGAAATGCAGCACTTCAACAGAGTTATTTATAATGACTTGTTTGGATTTGCAAATACTGTCTAGCAAGCAGGGTGGATTTGATTTAGATCAAATTGATTGAAATTATGATTTAAATTTTAAAATCAGATTATTTGATGATTTAAATTTAAAAAAACGGATTTTAAATTTGTTTTTATTAAAAACAACATTGATTTTTATCCACCCTGCTGGCAAGTATTTTTAGAAGGACTCAAAATGAATTTCATGGTACAATCCTGGCAAACGTGAATTTAGTGGGATTTTATTCTGAGCAAACATGCACAGAAATGCAGGATTTGCAGTATGACTGTGATAAAGCATGCCATGCTTTCTCTCAGATGTGAATTACTAGCTGCAGGAGAACTATTCAAACCATTCATCTGCTGAGAAAAACCAACCTGTATTTCTCAAGATAGGACATAAAATAGTTTATACCAGTTTTCTTTTTATATCCTCTAAAGATACATAACACTATCCACTTGAATATTTCCCACGCCAAGTTCTTTTTGGTACAGAATGGGTCTGAGATACTTTAATGAATAAATAAATCTGCAATGATTTTCTTTTTCATCTCCCTATCAATATTTTTAAAGTTGTTTTCATCCAGTTCCTGCTTTTGCTTCACACAAAACCAAAGCATTTCCACTAAGGCCATCTGTGTTGCAATCTCAGGAAGTCATGCAATTCTGAGGACGTTTCACAGTAAAATGGAAGTTCCATTTACTCAACATAATTTCACATCTTAACATTGATTTTGACCTAGGCAGCAGAGATGCATTTGTGTGCATGAATCTGAAAGAAACTTCCACTAATTTTAGTTGAATTTGCTTCGTTAAAAAAAAAAAAGAGATTGCAGCCACAAAGGTAGGAAAACATGCTGAAACGCGAGAACAGAGACCTATATTTCTAAAAGCTTAATCTCACTGTTATGATTAGGAAAGATATAAATAAAATTTGAATTAGAAGTAAAAAAAATTATAAATAAGAGACAACAACAAAAATCCGACACATAAAGATTTAAGCTTTGAATGCGTTTTTCTCTCTAATAGCAAGTTGCTCTATTTAAGTGTGTCCATTCTTCATTTTAGTCTTGCGTTTTCATACTGTACTGTGTAATCAAATTTATTGTAATGTGATACAATATACAGCACCTTAGAAATATGATTCTTGACATTAAAACTGCCAAGTTAGATTTAGGATAGTGTTCTTGACTTCACTCCTAAACCCTCACTCTGCCTTCTGAGGTGGGCAGAAGCAAACAAGGCCACTGAAACATTGCTGTGTTGTTTTAAAGCGGGAACCCATCCCCATCTTCACTTGACAGGGGGATCCATGAATTCCAGTTAATGCCAGCAGTACTAACATTGGGTATTAACAGATACAACTGCTGGCACTGACATCTTCTCCGGGAACACCCTCGTTTCTTCTCTGACCCAGGCAGGCACCTTCAGGGCAGCTGGGGGAGCCATGTCCTATCAATAATGTGGTCCCCAACTGTGGCCCTCCAGATGTTCTTGGACTTCAACTCCCAGAAGCCTTCACCACCATCTCTGCTGGCCAAGATTTCTGGGAGTTGAAGGCCAAGAACATCTGGAGGCCCAAGGTTGGGGACCACCTACCTGGTTCGACCCAAGCCTAATAAAGCTCACCCGACGACCGCTTCCCATGCCCTTTATTTACTCTGTTGCTAGGTACAGACTTTTTACCTTGAAAAATACAGTATTCTGATTCCCGTTTTCTGTTTTTGAAAATCATCATCACCACATGAATCATTATTTTGGTGATCCCTACCTAGCCTGAAGCGCTCTGGGAAACTCGAAAGCTTGCAAGGTTGTGTTGTGCTCTACAACTGGCGCGATTTAAATGTGTGTGTGTGTGTGTGTTTGTGTGCGTGTACACACACACACATATACATACTGTACATACACCCCCAACCCCGCGAACTGAACCCGTCGGGTCACCAAAGCCATTCAGTCTCAGCCGCCGCCCCCTCCTCCAGCTCCTGGGGATCAACGGAATTACTCACTCAGGAACGGGACTCCGAAGTGCCGTTTCCCGCGCTACTCCCCCCCGGAGAGAGCCGTTCTCCTTCGAAGCATCGCCCGCTCGCAATCCCCCCTCCCTGCCCGCGAAGCCGCCTGAACTCGGCTACGAGTCGACCCTTCTCTCTGGTGGCAGAGTTCATTACCATAAACAGGGGGAGCTTCCCTCACTGCGCCTGCGCCCAGTCCGACACTCTACCCTCCAGAACCGATTTGCGCATGCGTTCGGAGGGGAGGGGAGAGGACACGCCCCTGTCTCAGGCTCTGGCCGCAGAGGCAAGGAGGCAAGCGGTGCGCTGATCGCTTACTTCGGGTTTCGCAATAGCTGGATTTTCAGAGGCGCTTGCGTGCCGATGTTTTGTCAGCAGTTCAGACCAGGCGTCGTAGACCAAAACATATATAAATAAATGAAAACCTTTGCCAAGGATGAATAGCAAAGAAAAAAATAAGAAAAAAATGGGGTGTAAACATTTTTGTACTAAAAGGGTAACATCGTGCTGAAAGAAAAGAAAAAGAAAAGAAAAAAAGGGGTGTAAATATTTTTGTACTTAAAGGGTAACATCGTGCTGACGGGAATGGGCTTCCTAGACCTGGTGGCCATGGAGCAGGTGCTTCGAAGAGGGTCTTCTAGTTGGGTGACCCTCGGAACTTAGACAGAGGAACTAATAGTGAACGATGCCTGTTTTTGGCTACGGAATGCCGCTTCCCCGCACACGAAGGGTTTGCGGTTGGGAACCGGAAATCTCCGTCGAATGTAATCCTGATTCTACCCCTTTGAGAGTGACGCTACGACGCCGCTGCCGGTTCTCCGGCTCTTTGGACAAGAGGCAAAGGGCGGTGAGGGCGACGGGCGCCTCCTTCTTCCGGTTAGTTGCGGTTTCCCTCTCCCGGCAACCTCTTTGCCCGGGAGAGAGGGGCTGTGGCCAGCGCTTGGCTTAACCGTTCGTTGTACCCGTGGCGTCTGCAAGCAGATCCCCTCGAGTATTAAAAAAAGCAAGCCGGAGCCGGTTGAGCGACGCTGTCTGCAAGAGTTATACTTTCGGAAGAGGTGGCTGTATCAGTCTGTACAAACATACAGTATCAGCCAAAATCCAAAGCGGGCGTAGGGCGGGGTGGAATGGGAGAAGCCAAAACCTATGTCATACCTTAACGACGATTAGATTTTAATTTGAGCTTTCGTGGATCAAATCCTCATCGTGTGTTTAACATGTTCTGATAGATGTCATCCGTTGTTGTTTAGTCGTTCAGTCGTGTCCGACTCTTCGTGACCCCCATGGACCAGAGCGCGCCAGGACTGCCTTTCTGTCTTCCACTGCCTCCCGGAATTGAGTCAAATTCGTGTCGGTTGCTTCCATGACCAGCCATCTCATCCTCCGTTGTCCCCTTCTCATCTTGCCTTCACAATTTCCCAACATCAGGGTTGGGAAGTTAGTGGACAACTTGTTTCCATAACAGCCAAAACTAACTGCCTGAAGTGGTTGTCTAACTCTGCCTAGTTGTAGGGCTGGGATAGAATTAAATCTTAAAGTTGCATAGCGGTAAAAGCAATAGTTGTGAGATAATACCCGTACTAACTTTCTTTTTACAAAAGACAAATCTGTCATAAGTGTACTGTACAGTATTTGTAAAAAAATAAATATTTCTTCACTTGTGGAGCAAGAAAATACTTCTGTTGATATTGATTTGTTATATGTATGAAATATGCATTTTAACTCTTCACATTTAGTTGGAGGTTTCTCTCTAATTCTAATTAGAAGTTTTACTGTAACTGAATAATTAGCAAAACCTTGCAGTCCTATATGTCCTATCTTAGTTGGGTTGACTCTTAGATAAATGAGCATAGGATTGCAGCTTTATTTTGTCAAATTAGGAACACCAGATATGATGTGACACTGTTAGCACCCAATTTTAGGTTTCAATTCTCTGGCAGTGAATAACAGATAAAAATAGTGCATCAATCAGACTATATGTGAGTCAATTGTTATTTTTATTAAACATATAGCTGGACTCCCGTCTTAAAAGACAGATCAGGAGTCCCATCATGCATGTGATACGGCATTTTATAAGATTCTTACACAAAATACAATAAGCAAAGCATCCCCTAAAGGGGGAGGGGCTGGATATAAAGGCTGGTGTATGGATTATGAAGAGAGATTCTGTGAGTGAGAGACAGTGTGAAACTTAAAAGTGAACTTAGAGTGAGTTAGAGGTCTGTAAGAGTGCTGAATGGAACAGAGAGTTGATAGAGTTTTAAAGTTAAAGTAGAATTGACTTAGATATAAGTGATTAGCATCCTGTGATTTACCTATTGAGTAATAATCCTATATGAACTTCCCTGATCTAATAAATAACTTAAGTTTTAAAAGCACACGTGTCTCCTTGATTGAATGGCATTGAAGCAGCAATACCTGGTGGCAGCGAAGAAATAAGAAGGGCGAGAACCTCATGAAGGCCTGAGGGGATAGGGGCTTCAGAGGAGATCGCCACAGTTGTTGTGGGTTTTTTGGGCTCTTAAACACGGCCTGGCTCCCAATACTGAAAAATACAGCCTGCAAAAGGTCAACGAACTCTACCCAGCCACAAGGACCATGGATCATTGCACAAAAAAGACCAGCTAACGACACCCATCAATCTCTCTCCCCCTTTATCACAAAAAACATGCTGATCACCCTATCTCTTGAAAAGGACAAAAGCTGTTCCCACAGCTATAAATACTCAACTATCCAACAAACAGCTACAGAGCATGGACAGTGTTCCTACTCCAGTCCTCTGAAGATGCCGGCCACAGAGACTGGCAAAATGTCAGGAAGAACAACCTTCAAAACACGGCCAAAGAGCCCAAAAACCCACAACAACCAAACAAACAAGATAAAGGTTGTAAAATATTTTGATACTTGCAGAAGTTTGTGACAATTGTTTTTGACGAACTAAAATAATGTTTGAAATCCTGTTTGCACAATTCTATGTCAGGTAAAGCTAATGATCTTATTAGCTGTGGTGGTTTTTCAAATATTAAATGTTTCCAATCCCCCCTCCCCCCCGCCAAGGTTTTGAGGTTCTCATGAGATCCCTTTTGATGGGCAAGCCATTAGAGCCACAAGATTTGGAGTGGAGTCTTTAAGTTGCTGCTGTCAAGAAATTCATCCCTTCAGAGGAGGGTAATGGGAAATGTTTCATTTCAAAAAACCCATTGTAGCTGATAAAATGATCAACCTTATTTGGTGCAAGTTACACTGCTGAATATGAGTCAAGACTTGAGACAAATAGTCAGGGTTGCTCCTGTTGTTAGTCAGGGTGAGGTGTTTGCCTCAGGCAGCAGTTGCTGAGGTGGCAGGAAAGTGTTGAAGGAGCACACCATACTCTTCTCCTTTGTCAAGCTATTGCCTTCAAGTGTGATGAGGGACATACCGAGTCCTTTTGACAGAAATCAAGTATTTTCCAGAAGTCTTTTTCAGGGAAGCTGAAGACTTGCAGATGGGTTGTTGTTAGTCAGGGTGAGGTGTTTGCCTCAGGCAGCAGTTGCTGAGGTGGCAGGAAAGTGTTGAAGGAGCACACCATACTCTTCTCCTTTGTCAAGCTATTGCCTTCAAGTGTGATGAGGGACATACCGAGTCCTTTTGACAGAAATCAAGTATTTTCCAGAAGTCATTTTCAGGGAAGTTGAAGACTTGCAGATGGGTTATTATGAATTTTGTCCACTTGTAAGTCTATTTTTTCTATCCATTTATGTAGTGAATCAAATGCCCAGAATCGTATTTGGATTTTACTCCAGAGTAGGTGAAATTTCATAAGCTGTGGCACAGAACTGCAAACAATTAGCAAACAACCAGTCATATATGACTGGGTGTTTAACAAGGCATGCAGCCATTTGATTGACACATGACCTCCACCTTGTTTCATTGGCTGCATTTGCTGTAACAAATTATGTCGTTTCACTTTTTTCCAAAATAAAATCCCAATTGGATTCTGATTAATAAATAATAAACCTGTCATATTCTGTTCAGTATTGTGGAACCAAGTATACAGGTGAATAAAAAGTAGTAACAGATCAAAGTAAAAATTATCCTCATTTTAGAACTGTAGAGCTGAAAGGGGCTCGATGAATCATCAAGTCCAGCCCTAGAATGGTTATGGAAGACATCAGAAATATTATTTGGTTAAATTACTAGCCCAGGGCTCTTATACAAATCCATAGTGGGCTGCATTCAGAGTATAGCATGCAGTTCTGCTCACCATACAGATAGATAGATGGTAAGAGTGAAAAAAGGGAACCAGGCCCTGCTGGTGAACTTCCCATAGGCAACTGGTTGGTCACTATGTGAACAGAATGCTAGATTACATATTAGATTATGATATCATATATCATGATGACAACAAAAATAAATTTAAATGTGTATATTATTGTTAAATATAGCCTTTTCTAGCTTGAACTCGCAACAAAACGTGAATCTGAAATGTCACAGTTTAAGGTATAAAGAAGAAGCTAGGTTTAGAGCACATGGAAAGTGTAAATAAAAATTACAGTAGAGGAAAAAAGAAACTGCTTCTAAAGAATATGAGCGAGAACTTCTGACATTGTTGTTATAAATAGTGCTTTGCCCTCCCTGCATTTGCCCTAAAGCAGTAAGGTAGTTATTGTGATCACAGCAGGAGGTAGCCTGTCTTGCCTTCAGCATGGTCCAGAAAATACCTGAATTCTTTAAGAATAGTTTCACTGAATCAGTTGAGAGAATGCCTCCTGGAGCTGTTGCAATTGGGGAAAATGTTTTGCAGCCATTGTTCTTAATCTGTATACCAGATTAGCTCCACTAAAGAACAAAGCCTACGATATCAAGACACACATTCACTGCTGAGTGAGGACTGCTCATAAAAAACACGTTTTTAGTTTCTGTTTGCACTCTACACATGCTCTCAATATAATGTTGAAACAGTGTTTCATTTGGATGAATTTCTAATGGGATAGTTCCCAATGAGATAGTGGTGAAAATTTAAATAATATACATGCTTTATATTAAGAAGAAAATTAACCATACAGGTGCCACTGTCACGATCGGCTTCCCCTAGGAATGCTAACCGGTGGACAGAGAGTAACAAGAACATCTGGAGGCCCAAGGTTGGGGATCACT